TAAAAATTTTGATTTGATTTCGATTCTCAAAATTAAATTATTTTAAAACCAATTTCAATTTTAAAATAACCGGTTTTTGCCCACCCCTTATGAAAACAAATGCTGTGTTTTCTTCTCTCCATCTAAGCTAAATTGGTTTTTTTGGTCCTTAGTTTTTAACTCAAAGTATAAGTTGGTCCTCAATCTTCACTTTGTTAATTTTGCAGTTCTAGACATTCTTCCATTAGTCATTAAGATTTCAAAGTTGGTGTAATTACTAATTAGTGTTGTAAATGAGTTTATTACCCGACTTGAACTCTAGTTGGATTCAACTTTATTTGAAATCAAGTTTGAGTAGAAAACTTACCATGAAAAACTAAGCAGAGTCAAATAAGAATTATAATATAAATTTGACCCAATTCAATTATATTAAAATTTAAATATACATGAAATATCGATTAAAATTTTAATTTTAATTAAAACCAAATCCTATATTAAACTTGAGTGCTAAATAAAATTTATAAATTAAGTTTAAATTCAAGTCATTCAAATTGAGTTGACTTATTATTGTACATAACATCAACTCAAATTTAAGTTTTAAAGAATTTGACTTTATTTATTTTACAACTCTAATTGTAATACCTATATACTTAAAAATTTTGATTTAAGCAAGTTTATAGATTATAAATTATTCAAGGAACTAACATGCGTCCTAATTTTTAATATAGGTTAATGATATACAAAATAAATTAATATAATATCCACATCAATAATAAATTTTATGTCTGGATAACATAATATAAAATTGTGATCGATTAAAAAACTAAAAAAATTATCCCTTATAATTCAACTCAAAATTAAAAAAATAAAAATCTAATTGTAGTTAATGATGGAGATTTTACTAGTAAGGTAGCCCCAATTATCAATATGAGGAATCAATTTCAACTAATCACGAACGAAGGTGAACGCGGTAGGCTGTGCGAAAGATTTTGTACCAAAAAAACAAAAGCAAAAGATTCACACGTCAGGGAAATATCAATCAAGCCATTGCGTGGTTGGCAAACGACAATTATTTCATCAGAAATTAGACAAATCACGGTACATTTTGAATCTTAAAAGCTAGAAGATTATAGCAGCCATTAGATTTATATTTTTCGTAACTCTAGTCCCAATAATATCTCTAACAAAAGTGAAGCTTCGACATATACATTCTCACCTCTAGTCGGCCCATTGCCACACAAAAAAGTTTAAAGAGCACACAAGAATAATGAAATTGTATTTATTTAATTGTTAAAGAAATTAGTAATTATAAATATTAATTAA